TTGCGGCGCAGGGAAGATATTCGGGCTTTTGGACTGCCCCGTGTGCGTGCAGTCGGTCGTGGCCGGAGAAATTTTGCAGACGAGTGCTGTCGTGGTCAGACACACTCGGGACTACATTTGTCGGTCATCGCCTTCGACGCGTCCATGTGCTTTTTGTCCCTGTCTTCTTTATGCAATTGGAGGACCTGCTGGTGGATTTTGCGGATGCATGTGCGTGGGATCGGAGGCGCCCCGTGCTTGGCCCGGGCAAACGGGTTACGCCTGCTGACTTGTGCGACCTGAAGGAGGAATTTTGGCTTGCATGCTCGTTCACGAACCGTGCAGATTTCGCCCAGGCCGCCAAACTTCGGGTGGTAGAGAGTACTGCCCCCGACTGTAAAGACCGACGTGCGGAGCTCTCTTCCTTGGCTGATGGTGTGCTGCAGGGGCCTGTCGGCAGTTGGCCCCCAACTTCGTTTTTTGCTATGCGGACACGGGCAGAGGCGCAGCTCCCGCGCTTGGGCATCGCGCGCTCAGCAGTTCGGCGGGCCATCGCTGCGGCTCCCCCATCGGCACAATGCCGAAATTCAAAGCGGTGGCCGCGTTTTCGATCAGGGCCAAGGGCGGCAATCGGGATCCGCGACTTCATCACAAGATATCCAGATGGAGTTTCCCAGGTAACGTAGCTGACCATGCAGTGAGGGTCCGCGCAAACTTTGTGTTAGTGCACAAATGGTGTCCGCCCCGGGTGGCCGCGGCAGATCTACGTATTGTGTTCAATGGATGGACCCTGCGTCGCCGCATGCGCCACGCAGATGCCTCAGACCAGGATGCGTCCGGTAGCGCTTGTTCGGCTGCGAACGCGGCGCAGATAGTCTGAAACATCATAATGTCTGTTCTGTGGTGTGGGACTTCATTCAAGCAGCAATGCCCTCGGGTTTGGGCAACCCCTCTGGGCAATCCAGTTTTTTCTTTCTGCTGGGCACAGTGGTCAACGACGGAAACAACAATCAGGACAGCCCTTACTGCGTATGCTGTCTTCTGGGCCACCAACCACCTGCGACGCTCAGAAGCGAAGTGTGCGCGGAGCGCGCATATGCGACGGTGCCCCAGCAGGTGGCGTCGCCTGGGCGCAGAACGATTTCGGTCGCGGAAATTGCTCGACCCATGACATCATTTGGACAGTACACCTCCTTTTTTCTTTCTCCTTTTGGTGTTGTTCCTGTGGTTGTTGTTGTTGTTGTTGTTGTTGTTGTTGTTGTTGTTGTTGTTGTTGTTGTTGTTGTAGTAGAAGTAGTAGTAGTTGTTGTTGTTGTTGTTGTTGTTGTTGTTGTTGTTGTTGTATATTAGTGTACCGCTAGGCCAGGCCCCTCCCAAACATTGATTGAGGAATCGCGTGATTTTCTTCGAGGGGTGTCCCCTGACACTTCCACACCCATCTCGGAACGGGGTGAGGCAAATTCGTAGGAGGAGGAAATATCGTAGGAGGAGGAGGAAGAGGACGAGGAGGAGGAGGAAGAAGAGGAGGAGGAGGATGTGGAGGAGGAGGAGCTGGAGGAGGAGGAGGAGGAGGAGGAGGAGGAGGAGGAGGAGGAGGAGGAGGAGGAGGAGGACAAGGTGGAGGAGGAGGGCGAGGAGGACGAGGAGGAGGAGGAGTAGGAAGTGGAGGAGGATAAGGAGGAGGAAGAGGATGAGGAGGAGGAGGACGAGGAGGAGGAGGAGGAGGAGGCGGAGGAGGAGGACGAGGAGGACGAGGAGGACGAGAATGAGGAGGAGGAGGAGGAGGAGGAGGAGGAAGTGGAGGAGGAAGTGGAGGATGATGAGGAGGAGGAGAAGGACGAGGGGAGGGGGGAGGAGGAGGTAGGAGGACCATGACCGCGATGATGATGAGGATGTTGATGATGATGGTGATGATGATTATTGTGAAGATGATGATGAGGATGATAATGATACTGATAATGATGATGCGGACGATGATGCGGATTAAGATGCTGATGAGGGTGAGACTGAGGAGCATGATGATGGTGATGATGCTGGTGCTGATGATGACGGTTGTGGTGCTTATGATGATGATGTTGATGTTGCTGCTGATGGCGATGGGTCGTCATGACTATGATCATTATGATGCTGCCGATGATGGTGATGATGATGGTGATGTTGCTGACGATAGTTATTAAGTTGATGATGCTTTTGATGAATATTATGACGACGTGGATGATCAGGTTGAGGATGTTGATGACGATGCTGCTGCTTATGATATTTCTTATGATGATGTTGTTTATCATGCTGATAATGCTGACGAGGATGCTAATGATGGTGACGGTGATGTAGATGATGGTGGTGATGGTGCTGCTGCTCATGATGCTGATGATGTTGATGTTGTTGATGCTGGTGATGATGATGCTGATGATGATGATGATGATGATGATGATGAGGTTGCTGCTGATTATGATGGTGATATTGATGGTGTTGTCGATGACAGTTACGATAATGATGATGATGATGATGATGATGATGATGATGATGATGATGATGATGATGATGCGGATGATGATGCTGATGATGACGGCGGTGACGATGATGATGACGATGATGCTGCTGCTGATGATGCTGATTCGGATGAAGATGATGACGATGATGGATGATGCTGATGATGCTGATGATGATGATGATGATGCTGGCGATACTCATGCTGATGCTGATGATGATGGTGATGATGATGCTGCTGCTGATGATGCTTATGATGATGATGATGATGATGCTGATGCTGATGGTGATGCTGCTGATGCTGATGGTTGATGGTTGTCATGTCGATTGTGATGATGATGATGATGATGATGATGATGATGATGATGATGATGATTATGCTGATGATGATGATGATGATGATGATGATGATGATGATTATGATGATGATGATGATGATGATGATGATGATGATGATGATGATGAAATGATGATGATGATGATGCTGATGCTGATGCTGATGCTGATGCTGATGAGGATTCTGATTATTTTGACGCTGCTGATGATGCTGATGCTGATGCTGCTGCTGCTGCTGATGATGATGATGATGATGATGATGATGCTGATGCTGATGCTGATGCTGATGCTGATGCTGATGCAGCTGTCTCTGCTGTTGTTGCTGATGATGATTATGATGAGGATGCTGATGATGAGGAGGAGAACAAGGAGGAGCAGAAGAAGGAAGAGGATGAGGAGGGGGACAGATGCCTGTCAAGCATAGGCGGCTGTGATGGAATATCATTGGAGCATAGTCGTGTCGCCTACATCGAGAGAGGGGCCAAAAGGCACTGTTTCTCGAAGTCTGCATGCCGGCAGAACGACGGGAAGGACCATGAACAGCAGTGTCTGGAGCAGGGAGAGGATGGGGAGGAGGTGCAGGGTCTGTTTTGCCGAAGTCCCGCTTCGCCCCGACCTGCTGCGCCCCGACTCGCTTCGTTAGGGCCCGTTTCGCCGGGGCACGCTTCGCTGGGGCACGTTTCGCCGGAGGCCCGCTTCGCCGGAGGCCCGCTTCGCCAGACGCCCGCCGCCTTGCTGTCGCCCTCGTCCCCGTCCCCGTCCCCGTCCCCGTCCCCGTCGTCCCCGTCCCCGTCGTCGTCGTCGTCGTCGTCGTCGTCGTCGTCGTCGTCGTCGTCGTCGTCGTCGTCGCAATTGGTCCGTGCGCCCCTGCCTGCGCGCTCGCCTAGTCACCGTCCTGGAAGGCCTTTTCTCCTCATCCCCACGGGCGGGTCGGGCGGGCGGGCCCTGGGGTGCATCGGGCGGGTGGACCCTGACGAGCGGGTCAGGTGGGCGGACCCTGCGTAACGGGCGGGTTGGGCGGGCGGGACAATGAAGGGGCGGTCGGGTTTGCAGGCGCACGAGCAGGCAGACCCTGTCTGTCGGGTCGGGCGCCAGGACCCTGACGGGCAGGTTCGGGCGGGCGAACCCTAATGGGCGGGTCGGGCGGGCGGACCCTACAACGGGCGGGTCGGGCGGGCGGGACCCTGACGGGTGGGACCCTGACGGGTGGGCCGGGCGGGCGGAGCGGGACCTGCGGCTCGGGCGTGCGAAGCTTGACGGGCGCGTCGGGTTGGCAGGACATCGAAGCGGGCCAGCGGGCCTGCAAGCAGAGCACGCGGGCGAGCAGGCCCGAATGGGCGGGTCGGGCGGGCGGGCGGTGGCGGGCGGATCACGCCAGCGACGACGAGCTCGTGACGAGCGGCGACGGCGGCCACGACCAGCGACGACCATGGCGAGAGACGGAGACGGGCGAAGCGGGCCGGGGTGAAGCAGGCCAGGGCGAAGCGGGCCGAGGCGAAACGGGCTGGGGCGAAGTGGGCCTCGGGCGAGGCGGCCCGGGGCGAAGCGGGCCTGGCCCAGAGCTCGAGGGAAGAAACACGGGGACCACGGCCAAGATGTCGTGGGATCTTGTCGATGCCGATCGTTGTCATGGTCCATGTCGGCCGTGTGGATTCACGAGGATGATCCACGAATTGACGCTGGCCAAAAGCGGCGCTGACCAATATCGACACGACGTTTCCGCGTTCAGTCTTTCAAGGGAGGAAAAACCACCTGGACCCGACAATTGGCGTTTACTAAACGGCCCTGGGCGTTTACTAAACAGCCCTGCCCTGTTTGATTCCTTCATTGGGTGCCTTTACTAAACGGCTCCGCGTGTCGGAGTGATTCTCATGGGGGTGGATTTTCTGCCCTCTAGTCTTGGTCATGGTCCCTGTTTCTGTTCCCAGTCCCAGCGCGGGCCAGGGTGACACAGGCCGGGGCGAAACGGGCCACGGCGAAAGGGAGCTCGGGCGAAACGGGCCTGCCCCCCCCTCCCCCCCCCTTCCCTCCCCTCCCTCCCCTCCCTCCGCTCCCTCCCTCCCCTCCCCTCCCTCCCTTCCCTTCCTCCCTCCCTCCCCTCCCCCCCCCCTTCCCTCCCCTTTCCTCCCCGCCCCTCCCCGTGCCGCCCCTTCCCGACTGCTCCTCCCGATGCTGGCGTCGATCGCCCGCCCCGCGAGGAGGGGAGCGGCGCGCGACCCCGCGCTCCGACCGAGCAGCCCAGTGACCTGGAGGCGGCGGCCCGCGCCTCGCGCAGCGGCTTCAGCCCGCTCCCGTCCCCACCGTGGGCCCAGGGGAGGAGGAGGAGGAGGAGGAGGAGGAGGAGGAGGATGAGGAGGAGGAGGAGGAGGAGGAGGAGGAGCAGGAGGAGGAGGCGAAAGAGGAGGAGGAGGAGGAGGAGGAGGATGAGGAGACAGAGGAGGAGGATAATGAGGAGGAGGAGGAAGAGGAGGAGGAGGAGGACCAGTGTAAATTCAAGAGTCATCAACGATCTTGGAATAAACCCTCCCTCCAAGTTACCTCTTCATAGGCCCCTACAACGGTTCATTCCCGCTGAGGGAACTGCCTCGTTGGAAGACCCTGAAGCATGCCAAAACATTGTTCTCGGGATTCCAACGCCACGCATCAACCTGACTGTTGCGTCTTGACCATCCTGAATCTTGCCAGAACGCCATTCTTGGGACTTCAATGGTTGCACCCTCGTAATCGTGAGTCTTTCGGCAACACCATTTCTGGTAATTACGTTGACCATGGGGACCCGTGAAACTCTTGCAAGTTGTTCAAAGAAATGTGCGCGGCGCTGAGGCGAGAGCCACATTGTGAAAACGACCCGCCCTCAATCCGTGAAACTCTTGCATTTTTCCAAAGAGTGTGCGCGACGCGAAGGCGAGAGCCACATTTTGAAAACGACACGCCCTCAATCCGTGCAACTCTTGCATTTTTTCATAACGAATGCGCGCGGCGCTAAGGCGAGAGCCACATTTTGGAAACCACCTGCCGTCAATCCGTGCAACTTCTGTAATTTTTCAAACGAATGTGCGCGGAGCTGAAACAAGAGCCACATTTTGGAAACCAACCGCCGTCAATCCGTGCAACTCTTGCAAGCTTTTCAAACGAAAGTGCGCGGCGCTGAGGCGAGAGCCACATTTTGGAAACGACCCGCCATCCACCTGTGGAACTGTGAAACTGTTGCCATTTTTCAAGCTTCATGGCCATAATTGGTGAGCAAGTCTCAGGCCAAACGCCCGGCCCGCCCTAAAACCGTTGTCGGGGTGCGGCAGGGAGACGTTAGTCGTAAGGAAAAGGAATGGAGAAGGAGGAGGGCGGAGGAGGGCGTAGGGGAGCGGAGGGGAAGGAGGATGAGGATGAGGATGAGGATGAGGATGAGGATGATGATGATGATGATGATGATGATGATGATGATGATGGTGGTGGTGGTGGTGGTGGTGATGATGATGATGATGAGGAGGAGGAGATGGAGGAGGAGGAAGAGGAGGAGGCAGGAGGAGAAGGAGGAGGAACATGAGTAGGATGAGGACCAGGAGTAGGATGAGGAGCAGGAGGAGGAGGAGGGGGAGGAGAAGGAGGAGGAGGAGGAGGAGGACCACTGTAAACCCAAGATTTATCAACGATGTTGCAGTAAATCCTCCTTCCAAGTTACCTCTTCATAGGTCCCTACAATAATGCATTTTCACTTCGGGAAGTGCTTCGTTGAAAGACAAACGTCTGAAAATCCTCAGTCGTGTTAAAACACCATTCGTAGGCTCTGGACGACACGAATCAACGTTGCTGGTGCGTCCTCGCGATCCTGAGTCGCGCCAGAGCACAACTCTTGGGACTTTAACACTGCGAATCAATGTGACTGGCGCGCCCTGGCACTGGCAGTACCAGATCGTGCCAGAGTACCGTTCCTGGGACGTCAACCATAGTAATCCTTTTAGTTGTTGTGAAGGTTTACACGACTTTGCGCGGCGCTACGGCGATAGTCACATCTCAGGACCGAGCCGCCCTCCATCCCCGATATTCCTGCGAAGTGTGAACACGAATGTGCGCGGCGCAGGGGGCGAGGGCCACACATTCAAGAAGGAGCCGCCCTCCATCCGTGCAGTTCCTGCAAGCCCTCAGAAAACGAGTGTCCGCGGCGCCGCGGCGGGAGCCACACTGTCGAAAAGGAACCGGTCTCCACCCGTGCAGCTTCTTGCAAGCTCTGAAAACGAATGCGCCCGGCGCTGAGGCGAGAGCCACATTGTCGAAGAGGAGCCGCCCTCCATCCGTGAAGCTGCTGCAAGTTCTAAGCTCAGGATCAGGAATCGTGAGGACGTCTCAGGCGGGAACGCCCGGCCCGCCCTGCCGAAAGGTCTCGGGGTGCGACAGGGGGGGAGTTATCGGAGACGCCCACGGCGAATCACCGCCGCCCCCCGCCTTCTAGAGTCGCCCATGCAGCCGAGCGTTGTGGCAAAAGCTCTGTCAAGGTATCGGGCCACGTGTTCCCCAAACCGTTGTGGAAACCCTTCGGGGAACACTTTGGGGAGGATGGCGGGGAAGATCAAGAGGAGGAGGAGGAGGAGGAGGAGGAGGAGGAGGAGGAGGAGGAGGAGGAGGAGGAGGAGGAGGAGGAGGAGGAGGAGGAGGAGGAGGAGGAGGAGGAGGAGGAGGAGGAGGAGGGAGGAGGGAGGAGGAGGATCTTGGGAGCCTCTGGGGACACTCTTGGGGCCTCCTGGGAGCTTCCTGGGAGCCTCTTGGACCTTTGGGGGCTTCTCGGGGGCCTCTTTGGCCGTCTTGGTGGGCTCCTGGCCCGTCTGACGCCGTTGGAAACCGCCTTAGGGGCCTCTCTGGGCCGACTTGTGGCTTTCTTGGGGTGCTCGAGGGCCGTCTTGGAGGCCATCTTGAGCGTCCTGGAGGCCTCTTGGGCCGTCTTGGGGGCCTCTTGGGGCCGTCCTGGGGGCCTCTTGGGCCGTTCTGGGGCCATACTGGAGACCTCTTGGGCGATCTTTGGGGGCTCTTGGGCTGTCTTGGGCCGTCGGAAGGCCGAAAAGAAGCAAATGCCAACATCCTTCAAAAACTTTTTTGGGAAATCAATGATTTTGGCCTCTTCTGGCCTTCCTGGAGGCCCTCTAGGAGGCCTCTTGGGCCGTCTTGGGCCTCTTGGGCGATCTTTGGGGGCTCTTGGGCTGTCTTGGGCCGTCGGAAGGCCGAAAAGAAGCAAATGCCAACATCCTTCAAAAACTTTTTTGGGAAATCAATGATTTTGGCCTCTTCTGGCCTTCCTGGAGGCCCTCTAGGAGGCCTCTTGGGCCGTCTTGGGCCATCTTAGGGCCATCTTCGGCCGTCTTGGTGGGCTCCTGGCCCGTCTGACGCCGTCGGAAGCCGTTTTGGGGGCCCCTCTGGGTCGACTTGGGGCCCTCTTGGAATGCTCCAGGGCCGTCTTGGAGGCCATCTTGGGCGTCTTAAAGGCCTGCTGTGCCGTCTTGGGGGCCTCTTGGGGCCGTCTTGGGGGCCTCTTGGGCCGTTCGGGGGCGATCTTGGGGCGATCTTTGGGGGTTGGGCCGTCTCGGGCCGCCGGAAGGCCGAAAAGAAGCGAAGCAACTGTCAACATCCTTCAAAGACCTTGGGGCAATCAATGATTTTGGCCTCTTCAGGCCTTCCTGGAGGCCCTCTTGGAGGCCTCTTGGGCCGTCTTGGGCCAGCTTCGAGCCAACTTCGGCCATCTTGGTCGGCTCCTGGCCCGTTTGACGCCGTCGGAAGCCGTTTGGGGGGCCTCTCTGGGCCGACTTGTGGCTTTCTTGGGATGCTCCAGGGCCGTCTTAGAGGCCATCTTGAGCGTCTTGGAGGCCTCTTGGGTCGTCTTTGTGCCCTCTTGGGGCCGTCTTGGGGGCCTCTCGGGCAGTCCTGAGGCCATCTTGAAGGCCTCCTGGGCGCTCTGGGGGCGATCTTGGGGGCCTCTTGGGCCGTCTTGGGTCGTCGGAAAGCCGAAAACGAGCAAATGCCAATCCTTTAGGAAACCACTCATTTTGGCTTCTTCGGGTCCTCGTGGAGGACCTCTTGGAGACCTCTTGGGCCGTCTTGGAGGCCTCTTGGAGGCCCCTGAGGCCGTCTTGGGCCATCTTGATGCCATCTGAGGCTGTCTTGAGTGCATCTTGGCTCGTCTTGGAGGCATCTTGGGGCCATCTGAGCCATCTTGGAGGTCATCTTGGTCGTCTTGGATGGATGCATCTTGGAGGCCATCTTGGGCCGTCTTGGAGCCGTCTGGAGCAGGAACAACCCTTTGCAACCAGGTCTGGAAGATCTTTCCGGGTGGCCAGCGGGACGGGCCGAAGCCCCAGGGGAAGTTCTTTCGGAAAAAGAACCAATACCCAAACCGAAAGGGTCTAGCACGCCATGCACCCCTGCGATGAATCGACAGGGGGCGGCGGATGACGGAAAGCGCGCTGCGTCGCGATCCGTTAGTCGGGAGAAATAACAAGGGGGGTTGTGGGGGGGATAGGCAGGGGGTTGCCCAGAGTCTAATGGCCCTATCTGGGGCCCAAAAATGACGATTTCGCTAGGGACATCCTCGAACAAGTGCGATCTGGTCGACATCGTCTTGGGGTTGCCTTCGGGAGGCCTCAAGACGGCCCAATATAGCCCCCCAAAGCGGCCCAAAATGGCCCTAAGATGGCCCAAGATGGCGTCAAGATGGCCTCCCAAATATCCAAGGCGATCGAGTCTGCAGCCCGCTCTCTCTGCCGTGCCGAAGACTTATCACCAAGCGGGTTCGGAAGCTCTAAGCCAGCGGCCTCACGCCGTCACAAAAGAACCCGCGCTTTCCGTCCCCATGCCAAGGAGGTCAAATGCCACCGTCCGTGCCTGAGTTGTGGGGATGAAGCCTATTGGATGTTCGTTGGAATCTCGTGGGAGGCTTCTCGAGGACCTCTTGGAGGCAGTTTGGGCGCCTCTTGGGGGTCGTTTGGGCGCCTCTAGGGGCCCTTTGGGCCTCTTGGGGGCCTCTCGGGGTCTCTTGGGGGCCTCTTGGGCACCTTCTGGGGCCTTCTGCTTGGGGCCTCCCGGGGGCGTTTTGGGGCGGAAGGCTCGGATTTTCGATTCGTGTTCCCTTGGGCCCCTTTTGGGTCCGTCTTCGAGCCCTCTTGGGCTGTTTTGGGCGCCTCTTGGGCTGTCGTGGGGTCCTCTTGATTTGTATTGGGGCCCTATTGGAGGCCTCTTGGGCCGTCTTTGGGCGGTATGGGCCTTCTCGGAG